TCCGTCGGGGGTGAGTGTGCTCTTGGCACGGACGTCCTAGAGGACAGGCAGGAGGAGTTACAGTGTCTAGCGGCTGCTTCACCTCATCTCGCGTCTGTACTGCTTGCCCCTGAGGGAGACCCGGATGCACTAGACATCCCTACTCCGCGTTCTTACGCGGAGGACGTAGAGGGTCCCTACTCCTCTCAGTGGCAGGCAGCTATGGATGCAGAGATGGCTTCTTGGAAGTCCACAGGCACCTACGTTGACGCGGTTCCCCCTCCTGGGGCGAACATCGTCAGTGGCATGTGGATCTTCAGGGTGAAGCGGCCGCCGGGCTCTCCACCTGTCTTCAAGGCACGGTACGTTGCTCGTGGCTTCAGTCAGCGGCAGGGAGTTGACTACTTTCAGACCTTCTCTCCCACCCCGAAGATGACCACTCTTCGGGTGCTGCTGCACATAGCCGCTCAGCGCGACTACGAGCTTCACTCTCTCGACTTCAGCACTGCGTTCTTGCAGGGTAGCCTGCACGAGGAGATCTGGCTTCGCCGTCCACCTGGCTTCACTGGGACTTTCCCTCCTGGCACCCAGTGGAGCCTCCGACGGCCAGTCTACGGTCTCCGCCAGGCACCGCGTGAGTGGCACGACACACTGAGGACTACGCTTGCGGCTCTTGGGTTTGCTCCTTCTACTGCTGACCCGTCGCTGTTTCTTCGCACCGACACTTCCCTGCCGCCGTTCTACATCCTCGTGTACGTCGACGACTTGGTCTTTGCCACAGCAGACACTGCTGGACTCGCCTACGTGAAGTCCGAGCTGCTGAAGAGACACACGTGCACAGACCTGGGTGAACTGCGCAGCTACCTTGGCTTGCAGATCACTCGGGACAGAGCACGCCGCACCATTACCTTGACTCAGTCACACATGGTGCAGCAGGTCCTTCAGCGCTTCGGCTTCACGTACTCCTCGCCTCAGGCCACTCCTCTGCCTACTCGCCACTCACTCTCAGCTCTGCCTTCGGATGAGTCCGTAGAGTCGAGTGGTCCGTATGCAGAGCTTGTTGGCTGCCTCATGTACCTGATGACCTGCACACGACCTGACCTTGCATACCCTCTGAGCATTCTTGCTCGCTATGTTGCTCCTGGGAGACACAGACCGGAGCATATGGCTGCAGCGAAGAGGGTATTGCGCTACCTGTGCAGCACGTCGGGCATGGGGCTAGTGCTTGGAGGGCGGAGTCCAGTGGTCCTTACCGGCCACGCGGACGCTTCTTGGGCTGACGACCAGGCTACGCAGCGGTCGTCACAGGGTTACACCTTCAGCCTTGGTTCCGGCTCTGTCTCGTGGCGGTCTACTCGCTCGTCTTCGGTTCTTGGCTCCAGTTGTGAGGCTGAGATCTACGCCGGGGCCATGGCTGCACAGGAGCTTCGCTGGCTCACCTACCTGCTGACTGACCTTGGAGAGCCGCCTCGTTCTCCTCCAGTGCTGTACGTAGACAACAAGGCCATGCTGGCCTTGTGTCGAGAGCAGCGCTTGGAGCACAGAACGAAGCACATTGCTCTCCGCTACTTCCTTGCTCGTGAGCTGCAGCAGCGTGGTCAGCTGCGACTTGCGTACGTGGCCTCTGAGGCCAACACTGCTGATGTGTTCACCAAGGCACTCGCGCCTTGTGACCATCAGCGCTTTTGCACCCAGCTGGGTCTTGTGCCTGTCTTGCCTCACTTGCTCTCCTCTTGACTTCACTTGTACTGTGACATATATATATGCCTGCTCTTGCTTGTCTAGTTTTATATATATGTCTGTACTCCTGCATGTGAACTGGCCTCTGGCCCTACTCTTGTGCTCGGACTGTGTGGTGACTTTGTGATCCACCCTGAGCTTGCTTTGCTTTGCTTGACTGGTCTTGTGACCCCTTGTTCTCCCCCACTTTGCCTATGGGGGTGTGTCAGATTTATATGACATAGTTGCTGTAGGCTATAGTGGGGTAGCATATATGGGGTACAGGGTTTCTAGGGTTGTATTTGTACCCAATCTTTCCTTAGTCATTTCATTCCTGTTTTCCTTGCTTCACAGCTGTTCCCCCTCCTAGGGCGAACATAGTCGATGGCATGTGGATTTTCAGGGTGAAGCGACCGCCGGGTTCTCCGCCTGTCTTCAAGGCTCGTTACGTTGCATGGGGCTTTAGCCAGCGACAGGGAGTTGATTTCTTCCAGACCATCTCCCCTACCCCGAAGATGACCACTCTTCGGGTGCTGCTGCACGTCGCCGCTTAGCGTGACTACGAGCTTAACTCTCTTGACTTCATCACAGCTTTCTTACAAGGTAGCCTGCACAAGGAGATCTGGCTGCGCCGCCCGCCTGGCTTCACTGGGTCATTTCCTGCAGGTACCCAGTGGAGCCTCCGATGGCCTGTCTACGGTCTCCGGCAAGCGCCTCGTGAGCGGCACAGCACACTGAAGACGACAATTGCGGCTCTTGAGTTTGCTCCTTCGACTGCTGACCCATCGCTGTTTCTGCGCAACGACACTTCTCTGCCTCCATTCTACATCCTTGTGTAAGTCGACAACTTGGTCTTTGCCACTGCTGACACTGAGGGACTGACACTTGTGAAGTCGGAGCTGCAGAAGAGACACTCGTGCACAGACCTGGGTGAGTTGAGCAACTCTCTTGGCTTGCAGATCACCTAGGACAGAGCACGCCGCACCATCACCCTGACTCAGTCACACATGGTGCAGTAGGTCCTTCAGCGCTTCGGCTTCACTTGGTCCTCGCCACAGTCGACTCCTCTGCCTACCGGTCACTCGCTCTCAGCTCCACCTTCGGACGAGTCTGTAGAGCCGAGTGGCCTTTTTCCATAGCTTGTCGACTGGCTCATGTACTTGATGACCTGCACTCGACCTGAAGTTGCTTACCCTCTTAGCATCCTGGCATGCTACGCTGTGCCTGGGAGACACCGACTAGAGCACATGGAGGCCGCTAAGGGTGTTACGCTACTTGTGCAGTACGTTGGGCATGGGGCTCGTGCTTGGTGGACGGAGTCGAGTTGTTCTCACTGGCCACGCATACGAGTCTTGGATTGACGACTTGGCTACGCAGCAGTCGTCACAGGATTACACTTTCAGCCTTGGCTCCGGTTCTGTTTGTTGGCGGTCTACGCGCTCGTCTTCTGTTCTCGGCTCCAGTTGTGAGGCTGAGATCTACGCAGGGGCCATGGCTGCATAGGAGTTACGCTGGCTCACCTACCTGCTGACCGACTTAGAAGAGCGGTCTCGTTCTCCTCCGGTTATGTACGTAGACAACAAGGCCATGATTGCCTTGTGTTAGGAGCACAAACTGGAGCACAGGACGAAGCACATCGCTCTGCGTTATTTCCTTGCTCGAGAGTTGCAGCAGCGTGGTCAGCTTTGTCTTGTTTACGTGGCCACTCGGGCCAACACTGCTGATATATTCACCAAGGCACTTCAGCCTCGTGATCATCAGCGCTTCTGTACTGTTTTAGGTCTTGTGCCTAATTTGCCTCACTTGCTCACTTCGTGACTTTGCTTGTACTGTAATCTATATACATGTACTTGCATGCTTACACTTTTTAGGTTGTGATGACTTAACTGCTTGTTCCCATATATATAACTCTGCATGTGAATTGGCCTTGTGGCCACTGGAGCGCGGGGCAGAGCAGGATGCTAACAAATGGGCAAGGAGCAAAACGGACGGAGCTAGGCCCTAGGAGCTACCTATTCTGATACCGTCTTAGAACGTAACAGCGGAGTGGGTGTGATTACGAATACAGGGTGATACAAATAGCAAACCTAACAGTATTGTACTCTCTAGGGAGTACCTCACTACAACCTAACAATGAATATAACATTTGACATTGAGACGTCTCAAAACACAAGCCCGTCAATTCCGCTTGGTCAACAAGAGCAGCTCATTGATGTCCGCCCACGAGTGCACATAAGATCCCGACTCTTCGTCCCACACTGGCTCCATCCACCCTGCCACGCCCATATTGAGGGCGCCTTACACGCCAAATCAAGTCCATCATATCTGCTTTTTGAACGAGAGCAGGTAATTGATATCCGCCCATGAGTGCACGTAAGACTGCGACTCTTCATCCCACACCGGCTCTGATTTCCCTGGCTCGCCGAAAGGTTCCACCTGAACCTCCGCCAGGTAGGTGGCGGGTGGGGTGCGGCGGGGACGGCCGCGGAGGCGGCCCGTGGAGCGAGGCGGAGGGGTGTCGGCACGCAGAGTGATGCGCCAGAATATGTAGTCCGGGTCTGGGACCAATTGGTGATATGTGCTCTTGACCGAGACGAACCTGAGGTTCATTTTCTGGTGGGCTGGGGTGGGGTAGAGAGGGGTGGGGTGGGGTAGAGAGGGGTGGGGTGGGGTGGGAAAGGAAGGGAAGCGCTTGAGGCTTGTTGCAGGCTATTGTGACAAGGTGAGCCGAGCACCTGTCTCAGGCGGGCCAAAGAGCGAGGCGAGGCGGGGGGGTGTCGGCACTTAGAGTGATGCGGCAGAAGATGTAGCACGCGCCGGCAACCGATTGGTAAAACACACTCTTGTTCGACACAAACCTGAGGTTCATTTCTTGGCGGGGTGGGGTGGGGGGTTGAGGAGGGGAGGGGAGGGGAGAGGAGGGAAATATGTCAGGCCTGTTGGAATAACTGAGCAGGGATGAATGAACTAGCAGTGAAATGAGTACAAGTACCTAACCCCAGAAATGTGTACCCCCTATAGGCTAACCCACTGTAGCCTAAACTAACACAACATATATAATGTTTGACACACCCCCATAGGCAAAGTGGGGGAGAACTAGGGGTCACAAGACCAGTCAAGGCAAAGCAAGGCAAAACAAGCTCAGGTAGGATCTCAAGGATACCACACAAATTCCGAGCACAAGCAAGTGGTCACAAGACCAGCTCACATGCAGGTTTATAATAGAGAAAAAGGTACAATGATCACAACCTAACGAGAGTAAACATGCAGGTATATATATAGAGATCATAGTACAAACAGACTCAAGAAGTAAGCAAGTGAGGTCCAGTAGGCACAAGGCCTAGAAGAGTGCAAAAGCGCTGATGGTCACAAGGCTGAAGCGCCTTGGTGAACACATCAGCAGTGTTGGCCTCAGAGGCCACGTAACGCAGGCGAAGATGACCACGCTGCTGCAGCTCTCGAGCAAGGAAGTAACGCAGAGCAATGTGCTTCGTTCTGTGCTCCAGTCTGTGCTCCTCACACAAGGCAATGGCTGCCTTGTTGTCAACGTACAGCACTTGAGAAGAACGAGGCTGCTCTCCAAGGTCGGTCAGCAAGTAGGTGAGCCAGCGTAGATCCTGGGCCGCCATGGCTGTGGCGTAGATCTCAGCCTCACAACTGGAGCTGAGAACAGAAGAAGAGCGAGTAGAACGCCAAGAAACTGAACCAGAGCCAAGACTGAAGGAGTAACCCTGAGACGACCGCTGAGTAGCCTGGTCGTCTGCCCAAGAAGCGTCTGAGTGCCCAGTGAGAACAACTGGGACTCGCCCTCCAAGCACTAGCCCCATGCCCGACGTATTGCACAAGTAGCGCAACACCCTCTTAGCTGCATCCATGTGCTCCTTCCGGTGACGGCCGGGAGCGACAAAGCGTGCAAGAATGCTGAAGGGGTATGCAAGGTCTGGTCGAGTGCAGGTCATCAGGTACATGAGGCAACCCACAAGCTCTGGATACGGGCCACTCGGCTCTACGGACTCATCCGAAGGCAGAGTTGAGAGCGAGTGACCGTTAGGCAGAGGAGTGGGCTGAGGCGAGGAGTACGTGAAGCTGAAGCGCTGAAGGACCTGCTGCACCATGTGTGACTGAGTCAAGGTGATGGTGCGGCGTGCTCTGTCCCGGGTGATCCGCAAGCCAAGATAGCTACGCAGTTCACCCAGGTCTGTGCACGTGTGTCTCTTCTGCAGCTCGGACTTCACGTGGGCGAGTGCCACAGTGTCAGCAGTAGCAAAGACCAAGTCGTCGACGTACACAAGGACGTAGAACGGCGGCAATGAGGTGTCGGTGCGTAGAAACAGCGACGGGTCAGCAGTAGAAGGCGCGAACCCAAGAGCCGCAAGAGTAGTCCTCAGTGTGTCGTGCCACTCATGAGGTGTATGGCGGAGACCGTAGACTGGCCGTCGGAGGCTCCACTGGGTACCAGGAGGGAACGACCCAGTGAAGCTAGGTGGACGGCGCAGCCAGATCTCCTCGTGCAGACTGCCCTGCAGGAAAGCAGTGCTGAAGTCAAGCGAGTGGAGCTCGTAGTCACGCTGAGCGGCGACGTGCAGCAGAACCCGAAGAGTGGTCATCTTTGGGGTCGGGGAGAGGGTCTAGAAGAAGTCAACTCCCTCTCGCTGACTGAAGCCTCGTGCAACGTAACGCGCCTTGAAGACAGGCGGAGAGCCCGGCGGCCGCTTCACCCTGAAAATCCACATGCCACTGACGATGTTCGCCCCAGGTAGGGGAACCTCGTCGACGTAGGTGCCTGTGGACTTCCAGGAAGCCATCTCTGTGTCCATGGCTGACTGCCACTGAGAGGAGTAGGGACCGGCCATTGCCTCTGCGTAAGAGCGTGGGGTCGGGATGTCTGGTGCATCCGGGTCTCCCTCAGGGGCAACAAGCATGGACACGAGATGGGGCAAAGTAGCAGCAAAGCACTCAAACTCCTCCTGCCTGTCCTCAAGGACGTCAGTGCCAAGAGCAAACTCACCCCCGATGGACGGAGGACAGACAGACTCAGACTCAGCAACTAGGCTAGCAGCGTAGTCTAGACGACAGCGAGCAGCAAAGTCGACAAGCTCAGCAACTAAGGCAGACGCAGCAGCAGACGCAAAGGAAGGGTCAGTGACAACAGTAGCCAGGAGACGCGTGACAGTAGGACTGGTAGCACGAAGAGAGTCTGACCCAGGGTCAGCAAGAGCAGGAAGAGAGGAAGAAGGAGGAGACGGCAGTGGGACACGCTTTTGAGCAGTGGACGGACGAAGCGCCATCCGGTGAGTGCCTGGGACAGCAGGAAGACGCTGACGCTAGACTCGACTACTAGAGAGAGCAGTGCGGACAGGCAACTCAGGACGAGACTCAGGCGACGCAGGACGAGACGCAGGCTCACGCCGCTCAGTAAGACCTACAGTCAGACCAGTGTAAGGAGCAGGACCAGGGAGAGAGGAGGCAGACGGTAACGCCGACTGCAGCTGAACAGGCGGAGGACACGCAAAGGAGGGAGGAGGAAAAGGAGGAGGAAGCTGACCAAGAACCTGCAGAAGGAGCGGAACAAAGTACGGCCGAGACCGAGCAGCGACACCAGAGCCAGCAGGGACACCCGCACCAGGGTCCACAGCACTATCAGTAGCTCCAGCGCCCACGTCCTCAGCACCAGCGGCAGCTCCAACGCCCGGGTCCTCAGCGCCAGTAGCAGCTCCAACGCCCGGGTCCGCAGCACCAGCAGCAGCTCCAACGCCCGGATCCTCAGCACCAGCAGCGGCTCCAACGCCCGGGTCCTCAGCACCAGCAGCAGCTCCAACGCCCGGATCCTCAGCACCAGCAGCAGCTCCAACGCCCGGATCCTCAGCACCAGCAGCAGCTCCAACGCCCGGGTCCTCAGCACCAGCAGCAGCTCCAACAGCAGCGGGGTCCGTAACACGAGGCACGCCACTCGGAAGAGTGCAGCGCCGCTCGTACCACTCACGGATCCGCTCGCGGGAGGGGAGCTCTTGAACGGGAGAGGAAGCACCAGCACCAGTCCCAGTAGTACGTCCGGCTCGAGCGGTACCTCTCCGGAGGCTGCAGTACTCTAAGTACCACGCACGCAGCTGCTCCGAGGAGAGGGCTCCTCCAGGTGGAGGACTCCCAGGCCTAGTACCTCCAGACTCAGAACCCCCAGACTCCGGACTCCACAACTCAGCACCATGAGGCTCCACACCCCCAATCTCAGCACCCTCAAGCTCCACACCCCCAAGCTCCACACCCCCAGGCTCCACACCCCCAGGCTCAGCACCCACAGGCTCAGCACCCCCAGCAGGACGAGAGTCGACAGCTACCTCAACAGGCTCAACCGGGTCTACCTGAGACACATCTGAGGGAGCGGCACCCTGAGGGGGGAGGGGGTCTGCAACAGCAGCACCTGGCGCGAGGAAGAGAGGCGGGGGGGGGAGCGGGGCAGTGCGGTAGGGGAAGAGGCGGTAGTAGGGGACAGACTCGTCAAAAGTGACGTCCTGGGAGGGCAAGACTCGGCGCGAGGTGGCGTGGTAAAACTGCCAACCAGACGCGTCCGGGAAAAAGCCGAGGAAGACGCAGGGAACAGCACGGGAGGAGAGCTTGTCCGCAGACGAATCGCGGACAAAAGCTCGAGACCCCCAGACCCGGAAACGCGACGCATCGCCAACCTCCCCCGTCCACAGCAGCGTGGGCGAGGTCTCCGGCAAGGAGACACGGGGCCAGAGGTTGAGCTGATGCGCAGCGAACCGGACCGCAAACGGCCACAGAAAGTGGGGGGCAGCCGCATGGATCAAGGAGGTACGGGCGACCTCCATGACCAGGCCAATGCGGCACTCCGCAACCCCATTCTGTTGTGGAGAAGCCGGAAGCGTGAACGACTGCTCAATGCCATGCTCAGCACAGTAGGCTGCCAAGAGGTCGGAGGAGAACTCACCACCTCTGTCAGAGTGCAAGCGCAGGACAGGAAAGTCCGAGTGAAAACGCTCGCTGAGCTGGAGACGGGCTCTGCGGATCCAAGGGATCAAGACATCAGGGACCTCACCCTTGGTGCGCAAGGGGAAGACCGAGGTGTAGCGCGAGTAGTCGTCTACAACTATCAGGAAGTACCTCTTCTGACCCTGACCACGGACGCGGGCTGGGCCCCACACGTCCATGTGGAGTGTCTGCAAGGGAGCAGTCGTCGGGGGGAACGAGGAGGAGTGAGGAGCGGCGCGCTGCCGTCCCTCGACACAGGGGAGACAGGTAGGAGCAGGCGAGGGTGGGAGGGCAGGAAGGACCCTGGGCAGGCCAGAGACAAGGTACCGGGAGTGCATGGCACGAAGCCGCTGCACAGACGGGTGGCCAAGGCGGTGGTGCCAGAGGACAGTCTCGTGTGCCAAAGAGCGACACGAGCAGGGGGCGGACAGCTGACCTGACGCGGACGCGGACGCAGTCGCAGCAACCTGACGGGACTCAGTAGTCAGTGTGTACAGGTCCGACCCCGGCTGCCGAGTGAAGGTAGCCAAGTGACGGCCCGTACGAGCACACGTGCAGTGTATCACGCGCTCGTAGGCAGGGGTGAACTGGTGAACACCCCCGTCCTGGAGTGCACATCCTGCCACCAAGTTTGTAGAGAACGAGGGGAGGTGGAGACCTGACAGTGTGCCCGACGGGACCGCAGGGCAGGGAAGGACAGTGGAAGAGGTCGCAATGACCGGACCCCCAGAGGGGTCAGCAAGGGAGACAGCAACTGGCCGAGCAAGCGGCTCAAGGGCAGTGCGGTCACGAAAGAAGCAGCGAGAAGCACCTGAGTCCAGTGTGAAGGTGTGCAGTGCGGCAGTCGACGCAGTACCAAGGGGGGGAGACACACGAGCACCTAGAGCAGCAGCCTCACCAGCACCTGGGGTAGCCGACACGCGAGTACCTGGAGCGGCAGACGCACTGGCCCTAATGCCCGGGTCGGGCGGCACACACAAGTACTCGGCACCCTCTCCACTAGTAGACATCACATACATGGCAGATAGAATAGCATCAAAGTCTAAAGCATAGATATCAATCCCCTTCTTCAGGAGATCAAGCCAGCGGGGCAGCTCAGTGGCCTGAGGGAACTGAACACGCCAAGCGTCGTCGAGACGAGAGAAGCAGCGCTGTGTGGCGTGCGGTCGTCCACACTGCTGACCAGTGCGGTCACCAGTGCGAATGACGTACGTGCAGCTAAGACCACCCCCACCCCCGTGCTGAGAGTACCACTCACGGACATCCTGGGGCGAGGGAGTGTGCTGCTGGCCCTGGCCACTGCCAGTGCCTCCACGGCCACCACCACCGCTGCCACCGCCTCGACCACCCCAACCCCTGCCGCCGCCTCGTCCACCACCACCCCAACCGCCGCCTCCACTCCTGCCACCTCCCCCGCCGCTGCCGCCACCACCCCCACCGCTACCACTCGCCCCTCCAGCCGAGCCACCACCCCCACTGCCTCCACCGCCCCCACCGCCGCCTCCCTCGCCGTCACCGCCACCACCCTTGCCCCCTTTGCCCTTGCCGCTACGGCGTCCGCTCGAGGCAGACGCAGCGCCGACCTTCTCAGTACCAAGAAGGTCGACAGCAGCAGCAGAGGCGACAGAGGGAAGAAGGGGGGAAGGAGAACATCCCTCAAAGAACGGGGTATGGGGGTCGCCACGAGAGGCACCTACAGCGACTATGCTAGTCTCAGCTGCAAGTAGCTCCTTCTCGAGGAGGGCAATGGTGAGCTCAGTGGGGCAACGAGCTAGGAAGTGGTCCCTGACAGCACGCAGTGTGTCAGGGAGGCGGGTGACTAGGTGGTAGAGAGTGAGCCAGAGTGGAGGGGGGTGCATGGCAAGGAACTCAGCAGGCATGGCGGCACGGAAGCGGGCCTCACTAGTACGGAGGTGCGTGATGAGGTCAGCGACTGTGTGAAAGGAGGCCAGGTCGTGAAACAGGTAGGGGAGGGAGAGACGGCCTAGTGCGGCAGAGGCAGGTGAGGAGTAGCGAGCAACGACAGCTGTGTACAGTGCCTGTGCAGTCTTGTGCTGACCAAAGTGCTCGCGTTCGTCTATCGGCAGGGAGTTGCGAATGACGAAGCGAGCGTGGGCATCACGAGTCTGCCACTGTGAGCGAGCAGTGCTGTCAGCAGTAGCAGCAGGGGCAGTGACATGGCCTAGGGCGTGATCGTACAGTGAGATGTCATCCTTGGCTGTGAGCTGTAGGTAGAGGTGCAGGTCATCGAGTCAGCCCCCACCAGTTCTTCATAATGTTCACCCTAGGTGGGTGTTCGACCAGCTCCCAGGTTCCCATGCCGATCAAGTTGCGGATATCCTCCTCCGTGGCCTCCTTCACCGTCATCGTGGAGATGTCCCAGCGGTGCTCGAGGTCTTCGTGCATGTCGGGGTCGAGCTCCGGCAGGTCCTCACCTTCCTCGGCGTCATCATACAGTAGGTCGTCGTCGACCTCGTCGTTCACCGTGATGAAGGCGGCGGGTACGAAGAAATCGGGCGGCCTCCGTAGTCGGCGTGTACTCCGGAGTCCAGACTAGACCTCAACCACACCGCTGTCGGTGGACTCCTCGACGTCCCCTCCATCATCATCGGCGTCGCTGCCCTTAGCGTCTTGCTGCACCACAGTCGGCTTCCCTGCCGACTTTTCCCCTGCAGTCGGCTCCCCTGCCGACTGCCTGGTCAACGTTGTGGTCGGTTTCACTGCTGGCCACTCCTCTGTCGGTGGCTTTCTTGCTGATGCCTTCTTCACCGGCTCCACCAAAGTTTGTTGCACCTCCTCGGCCAGCTCCTCCCCTGTCGGCGTCGACTTCACTCACGCGTCGATCTGCTGGACGTCACGTCTGCCACTGGCGATGCTTTTGGGTGTCGCCACAGGCGGCCCTCAGCATCGAACACGAGAACCTGTGGGCTAGCCATAGGAACAGTAGAAGTAGCAGCAGTAGCAGTAGGAGAAGCAGGTAGGACGAACCAGGTAGGGCAGGGCGGCGCGGCTCGGTTCAGGTCGAGTCGCGGCTCGGCTGGGTGGCGCGGCTCGGTTCAGGGCGCGCGGATCGGCTCGGGGCGCGCGGCTCGGCTCGGGGCACGGCGGGGACGGGCCGCCCGCTCTCCCTCGTGTGCTGCGGCGGGAACGGGCCGCCCGGGGCCTCTAGGTGGTGACCACGGGTCGGCGAGGTCGGCACGGGGCCGGTTGGGGCCGTAGAGGGGCGAGCGCGGGGCCGATCGGGGCCTGAGCGGGGCTAGCGCGGGGCCAAACGAGGCCTTGACGGGGCTAGCACAGGCTCGATCGGGGCCTGAATGGGGCTAGCGCGGGGCCGACGGGGCCTGAGAGGGGCTAGCGCGGGGCCGACGGGGCCTCAAACGGGGCTAGCGCGGGCCGACGGGGCCTGAGAGGGGCTAGCGCGGGGCCGACGGGGCCTGAAACGGGGCCAGTGGGGCCTGAAACGGGGCTAGCGCGGGCCGACGGGGCCTGAGAGGGGCTAGCGCGGGGCCGACGGGGCCTGAAACGGGGCCTGAAACGGGGCTAGCGCGGGGCCGACGGTGCCTGAGAGGGGCTAGCGCGGGGCCGATGGGGCCTGAAACGGGGCTAGCGCGGGCCGACGGGGCCTGAGAGGGGCTAGCGCGGGGCCGACGGGGCCTGAAACGGGGCCAACGGGGCCTGAAACGGGGCTAGCGCGGGCCGACGGGGCCTGAGAGGGGCTAGCGCGGGGCCGACGGGGCCTGAAACGGGGCTAGCGCGGGCCGACGGGGCCTGAGAGGGGCTAGCGCGGGGCCTGAACGGGGCCTTAAAGGGGCCGACGGGGCCTGAACGGGGCCGCTAGGGAGAGCGGGCGTGGGGCCGACGGGGCCTGAACGGGGCTAGCGCGGGGCCGTCAAGAGGGGCCTCTAGGGGCGTGACACGCCGAGGCGCCCTAGGGCACAGGTAGGTTGGTAGGTAGGTAGTTACGTAGTGGTGGGCCCTTAGAAAATTTCGGTCCTAGGAAGGACCTGCTCTATACCATGTTGGAATAACTGAACAGGGATGAATGAACTAGCAGTGAAATGAGTACAAGTACCTAGCCCCAGAATTGTGTACCCCCTATAGGCTAACCCACTATAGCCTAAACTAACACAACATATATAATGTTTGACAAGGCCTACATTTAATAAAATCAAAAGTTTGTTAAAACTAGCCCGGGACGGTGTATTAAGTCGAGTGGAAACTGACGGTCGTATTCTGGTGCTATGGATTGAGGGGTGAGGACCGGGGGGAGAGCACTTGGGATTGTTGCGGGCCACTGACGCTGTAACGAGGCAGAGTCTGATAAAGAGGGTCTTGGGCAATGGGCTCGTGGTGGGGAGGAGGCGGGGAGGAGATGGGAGGAGGAAGAGAGAGAACTTAAAGGCACGTGAACAGAACATGGTATAATTTCAGGCGCCTCAGAATTAGAAGACAATTGTTGAAGAGGGCCTTGAGCTCGCGGTGATGAGGTGATGAGGAGGAAAGAACTTAGAGACACATCAACAGAAAGTGGTACTGAGGCTTCTGGTTGTGAAACATTTGTTGGGGAAGTAAGACGGATTTGTTGGCACCTAAAAAATAAGTGGCACGTTCTCTAGGTACCTCTTTCTTGGTATGCAATGATGACGAGAAAGCACTGATGACGAGAGAAGCAGTTCGTTAACGTACCGCTTTCTTGTTTTGCTCGCCGATGGCGAATTTCGCCAACTCCAGCGCGTCGCTATCCGTCGCCACGTTCTCCACAGCGGTCCAGTCGCCGCCAGGAGTAGGCAGAGTTTGCGCAGCAGCGCATGGAATCGTGGAGAGGAGAGAAGCGACGACAACGCAGATAGTAGCTGCAACGGCAAGCACAGGGTCATCGTGAAAAAGGACTTGCCAGGAAAGTTGCAAAAAGGATACTTTTTGGATACCTTGGTTTTGCAACTTTCCAGTGATGGTCAAATGTTGCAGAAATCAAAGTCACTGGAAAGTTGCTAAAATTTTGCATTTCTGCAACATTTCCGCAACAAAACCGCGACATAGTGGACACTTGTTGGATACATTTTGTATACATTTCAGTCACATGTATGCAATTTCACTACCTGCCACGTGGCTCGCATACGGTTTCGTCTTCGAATTGTACGTACGCTGGTACGTTCGCGAAGATATTGTTGTCAAAATTAGAAGGAAGAAAGAGGAATGAACTAGCAGAAATGGGGATACAAATAGCAAACCCTAGAAGGGTTGTACTCGCTATAGAGCACCCCACTACAGGCTAGAACATAAGAATAATATTCTGACACACCCCCATAGCCAAAGTGGGGTGTAATCAGCAGAGCAGGCAAAACAGTACAAGCTCAGGGTGGATCACAATGTCACCACGCATTCTGAGCACAAGGTCAAGAAGAAATAGTTTAGAGTTCACAATTATAAGCAAAGCTAGTGGTAGTCACAACGGGCAAGTGAGGAGGAGGAGGGAGAGTGAGGGGAGAGGAGACAGGAGGCGACGGCTGAAGCTGCAGACACACGGGCAACAGGAGGCAGACTGGCACAGCGGCTACCGGACAGCGCCCGGACTACAGGAGTAACAGGCCCCGCGGCTCAAATAGCGGCGGACGGGCAACGGACCCACGGGCGGCTGGCACAGCTGGCTACGACTGGGCTACCGGGACAGCGCCCCGGACTACAGGTGCTGCGAACGACAAACTGACAACCTCCACTCAACCTCTCGCACACAGTCCCACCCCCCTGATACACACCCACTGCTACACCGCTAGCTCTACTCCCACGCACCCCCCTTAAACCCTAAACCCGAGTCTCCCACACAACCACCCCCCTCAGCGACAGCTGCAGCAGTGGGAGACGGAGGAGGAGGAGGAGCAAAGGGAGGAAGGCACACCGAGCACCCCCATACCCGCCACCCCACAGCTCGCCCCTCCCGTCGTCCGTCGAGGCGACCTGAGGGGGCCGCTTGCGGCGGGGAGGGGAGAAAAGGGGGGGGGGGGGGGGGGGGGGGCCGGTGCCGCGACGAGGGGCGGGGCCGCGACGGTCGGGGCGGGGCCGCGACATAGGGCGGGGCCGCGACGTAGGGCGGGGCCGCGACATAGGGCGGGGCCGCAAAGGTAGGGCGGGGCCGAGCCTGGCAGGCGCACGGGCGGCGACGGGCCGGGGCGGGGCCGCGACGAAGGGCGGGGCCGAGCCGGGCAGGCGCACGGGCGGCGACGGGCCGGGGCGGGGCCGCGACGTAGAGCGGGGCCGCGTCGAGGGGCGGGGCCGCGACGATCGGGGCGGGGCCGCGACGTAGGGGAGAAGCCCGCCGCGCGCCCCGGGGCGCACAGCGGGCAATGAACCGCCGCGCGCCTCGGGGCGCACGGCGGGCAGAAAACCGCCGCGCGCCTCGGGGCGCACGGCGGGATGAAAAAATGCCGCACGCCACGGGGCGTGCGGCTCAGAGAGTAGTAGCAGTAGTAGCAGCGGAAGCTAAGCGGTGGTAAGCCCACCCACAGGATCGATCCAGGGGGATCGACCTGCTCTGATAGCATGTCAAAATTTAGAAGAAAGAAAGAGGAATGAACTAGCAGAAATGGGGATACAAATAGCAAACCCTAGAAGGGTTGTACTCGCTATAGAGCACCCCACTACAGGCTAGAACATAAGAATAATATTCTGACAATTGTGCCACGTCAGCTACGATATTTCTGCCACGTGTCATTCACGGTATGTGGACTAAGGCGTGACACTTGGACCAATCAAACAAGCAGTGTGAACGTGGGAAAATTGATTTTAATAGGCCGCCGAATTGCCTGAAATCAGAGCATACGTGTAACAGGTGTGTTTGAAAGTATACATTATACACTATTCATATTCTCTTCGGACATTTGCA